TTGCCCTTCTTTTGGGACTTACCTTAATGGAAGCCATATTCCCCCGGTTCAACATATTTTTTTCTTTCAAATGCTTTCCCTAAAGTCCTTGTCCCCCCAAAGGAAAACTTTTGAATTTGTATGCTCTATCCAATCATAGTTCCTCTCCTAGCACGATTTTTTAAATGTAAAAAGCTCCCACTCCATGGGTTGCCATTTGTTCTTTCTCTAAAAATGTGACTCTGATGCCACTTTGTTCGATTGGATTTTACCAATACAAAAGTGTATAAACATGCACCAGAATAAATCAAATTTAGAGAGGAGGGAGTAGTAGAAGAGATAAAAACACACTTTAGTATATTACTCACTCAACAAACACGATAACAAGACTCACTCAAGAACTCTTCTTTTCTCTCTAGACTTTTTCTTCTTCTTTTTGACACACTATAAATGAAAAATTACATAGATTCTCCCGCATTATAATATTCTATAACCACCAAATAATTCATTCAGTGATTAATAAATTAAGATTTCTTTTCGTGAGTCTTACTCGCTTAAATTATTTGATTATGACGGATACAAAATCCACCTAGCCAGGACTTGGTATAAGCAAAACTCATAAACTACTCAAGGATTATTTAGCAATCCCATATTTCAGAGATGTGGATTTGTTCCGATAATTAATTTTCACCCATTAATTCATAATGTCAATACCGACCACATCGGGGATCACTTGACTCAATATAGAAATATCATCCATTATGACATCAAAATATATATCATCAATAAATGTGTACATTGGTTTCTTAGGGATTAGTTGAGTACGTAAATTACTGTCGACTAGAAATAATATAGTTTCATTTGAAAAAGTGATGAAACAATTATTTCACGTTATTCGGTTCAGCAGATGACTATTGTGCTAGTACAAAAAGCCAAACAACAACTACCAAAGTCATTCTCTGGTTGCAGTAATAAAGACATATCACTTAAGTATTGTGTTATAACTCCATTTTGTTGTATTAACTTTATATTTAAAACGAACTATCAAAATAATCTTATGTGTACTATATCCAAATCAACACACTATTTAGGGCTTGTTAGGTGACCTATATTGGATTGCTTTGGGTTACATGAGATTGAATTAATTCTCTACTAACTAATTAATTATTTAGTTAGTAAGACGTTCACTTTATATATGATTTGTCTATAGAAAAATTATTTAATAAAATTAGTAATTTGAAGGTTAAAATACACTTTTACTTGTCCATCAACCTCTATTAAATTAAACTCAGTGGGAGAGGTGCTACTAATTTAATGAAATAATAGCATTTAATACCGGATTTTGATTTTACTAGCAGGTTTGAAGAAGTATGAATCTTGTCAACCGAAAGTGTTACTAGCCTCTACTATTTACTCAGTAGAACATTATAGCGGTAACCTAGCGAGCCCCTAGAATACTATTAGACTAATATACTCCTGCAATTAATTAAATGCATTGAATGACGTAATGCAGATTCTCATAAAATGATAATATACTATTTTATTAGATTATTAATAAAATTATGTAGCTAAAATAAGACTTTTGGTCTACTATCCCAACACTTTTCAATTCTTTGCTGCAACAATTACAAGAAACACCCGTACGGTAACCAATTTAGCTACATGAGCAAACGTTTATGTATAACCAATTCTTTCAGTTTGATGGTTCCCAAGAATAACCAACCGAGCCTTCAACCCCTCAATATTACCGTCTGAATTATATTTTAGGGTAAATTACACCCACACCCCTGAGGTATGCTTAAATAACTTTAAGGTCCCTGTGGTATCGATAATTACACTCACCCCCTTGAAACATAGTTATTAACTCTAATGGGATAATGCATTGGATACGTTATTACGATAGAGTTATAACGAACTATTGGTTTCAGGAAGTGGTGGAGACAACAAAGAGTTATGGGTGATTTAAGAAATATTGGGGGAGCCATGTCACCCCATAACTCCCCATAACTCTATGTTATCTCCACCACTAGATAAAAGTAATATTCCATTAGAACCCTATCGGAATAATGTATCCAATGCATTATACCGTTAGAGTTTCTAACTACGTTTCAGGGGGGTGAGTGTAATTATCGATACCACATGGACCTTAAAGTTATTTAGGCATACCTCAGGGGTGTGGGTGTAGTTTACCCTATATTTTATAGTGTATACCCATTTTCTCTTAAGAGCTTTGTTCCTGATGACAAATCTGCCACATCCCCAGTGTCATTAGCCTCGAGCATCAACTTCATGATGCATTAACCTTCTAACGAATATCTTTCAAGACCTTAGAATAGTCCACATGTTCCTTCTCTCTCTCGTCAAGGATGCAAGAATATTTCTATGTCATACAAAAAAAATTGTCGCAATTTTCATAGTGTGCTATAGGATAAGGAGTACCTGACGGATGTCGTGGTATGGGTGGTGTATGTAAGTGTGGGCAACGTAGTCATGAAGTAATGCAGATGAAGCTTCTCTGCTGCACCCTTCAGAACCTTCAACTTAAGATGTACTTTTTGATAAAAGCTCTAAGGTTTCATGAAGTAATGCTGCTGATGAAGCACTCTGCTGCACCCTTTAAAACCTTCAACTTAAGATGTACTTTTTGATAAAAGCTCTAAGGTTCTTCGCTGGGATTATAGGAAATTTGTATATATATATATATATATATATATATATATATATATATATATATATATATATATATATATATATATATATACAAATTTGTGCTCCATAAGCCTAGCTTCGTGAACCTACATAAATTAGTTATAAGGAATACAATCATGCATGATTTCTATAACTTAATTAAATAAGGATAAATCATTTTGCAATCTTTTCTATTATGTAATAAATAATAAGAAAATAAATAATGTCTTATACAGTAAAATCTACAGGACATATGAATTAAATAATTTTCTTATCAATGACATGGAATAAGATCGATGACAATCTGTATAATAAAACCACAGATTTTGTCCAAATATTTATTAACTGAAATCTGGTGCCAACACTAAAAATCTTCTTCAGAAAACCATTTTCTACTTATTTTGTTTATTTCTTAAAAATGATTCAACTTTTGCTCAGAATCTAAATTTCAACTGTTATGTTCATAGTATTTACTTGGTCATGTTTTAATGAATTTTTTAAATATTGAATATCTAAAAGATAATATGAATAACAGAACAAGTTAACTTTGTGTGAGGTTATTTATTCACTAACTTAATGTATATTTATATTAATTTCACATAATGACACCAAAAAATCATTATGAAATATTATGTGACGGAGTCACTTCGGACAATCTTATTTCAATTTGTTTTGTCAACTTTTATACATTATTATTTTAATTGAACTGATTGAACTGCTCTGTCATCTTTAAGGTTGGCTTATAGATATACTTGAGGCCTACCTAGCGCTAAGGTTCTTAATTGGATTTCCTTCCTTATGTGTTCTTCTGATCATTAAATTTCGAACAAGGCATTTGTCAATGTTTGGCCCAATAGAAAGATTCCTGCAAAGTAACAAAAATCTCACAACAATTCGATATTCCTACTCAGACGTAAGAAAAATGACAAGAGGTTTTCGTGAGAAACTAGGCGAAGGGGGTTATGGTTCGGTTTACAAAGGGAAACTTCGAAGCGGCCATGATGTAGCCGTCAAACTACTCAACAAGACTAGAGCAAATGGGCAAGAATTCATCAATGAAGTTGCAACGATTGGAAGGATCCATCATGTCAATGTGGTTAAACTTGTCGGATATTGTGCAGAAAGATCCAAACGCGCCCTTGTCTACGACTTCATGCCTAACGGCTCCCTCGAGAAGTACTTATTTAGTAAAGAGACGAGTACATCTCTTAGCTTGGCGAGGAAGTTTGAGATTGCAGTTGGAGTTGCTCGTGGAATTGAATATTTGCACATAGGATGTAACATCCAAATCCTACATTTTGACATAAAGCCTGACAACATACTTCTAGATGATAATTTCACACCCAAAATCTCTGATTTTGGACTCGCAAAGTCTTATTCAATAGAGAATACCACGTTGACTCTCACTGCAGTTAGGGGAACAGTAGGGTATGTGGCTCCTGAACTGATGAATAGAAGCATTGGCAGTGTGTCTTGCAGGGCTGATGTTTATAGCTTTGGAATGCTGTTGATGGAAATGTTGGGCCTAAACAGAGGTACGGGGCCTACTAATGACAACAAATCGAGCCAATATTTCCCATATTGGATTTATGATCACTTGAATGAAGGCAACGACATCGAAATTGGAAATGCCGACAAAAATGACTATGATGATGACGATGAGGACGACAATGCAAGAAAAATGAGGAGAAAGATGACAATAGTTGGGTTGTGGTGCATACAAATGAGGCCAAGTGATCGTCCGTCAATGAGTGATGTTTTAAAAATGCTCCAAGGGGAAATCGGAAATTTGCAAATTCCTCCTCAGCCTTCCCAATCACCTGATATTGAATACTTCAACGATCGAAATTGGGAGACTGAGTCAACTGGTTCCATTGCCTTGTTGTATAATGATTCTTTAACTGGTCATTGAGAGTGGTAAGTAAGGATTATAAATTAGTATGTTGTGCAATGAATTGACATTTGCTAAGACTAATGGGATAATAGCAATAATACTTTGAATTATTCCTCAAATATTTTATCTAAGGTTATTTTATTATGAAGTAATGATTTCCTTTTCTGCTATTTTTTGTAGGATCGACATGAATATGTATGAATTTTCATCTTCCAACAATTCAATATGACCAATATCTTCAGTCAAAATAGAGAGTAGCCAAATATAGGGTTTATTCCTCTCAAACAAATTTGGGCTTTATTGCACTGTGTACTTCTGTATTTACTCTAATTGTTAAAAAAACTCATCATATTTGTTATAGAATAAATTATATTGTAAATATGTGTGTGATAATGGATTAGCGTGTGTACTCTGAATTTTCAGAATATCAAACTTGGTAATACAGTGGAAGAAAGAGAGGATAATTTGGCTGAAGTAATCATTACATTTTTCATTCATATGTTGAGGATATAAATACACAAAGTTTACAAGATTTGTCATGCAATGCCTAAGCATTCGTTCTTAGAATAAACGACTCGTATAAAGAGATGTATAATTTTGCTTACTCTACAAGATATATAATTTTGAGTCCACAAAGTAGATATGAATAATTCATATTATAATACTCCTCCTTGGATGAAAGAAAATTGGATGAGTGAAAATTTATATGCCTTGTTAGAAACTTTGAGACGGAAAACCCAAAGGGACAAAACCAGTCAGAAGGAAAAAATAGTATATAACTCAATCCAAGCTGTGTGCAGAAGCTACCTCATTAAAAATCTTTGCTGGGAAACCAAATGGGACAAAACCAGTCATAAGGGAAAAAGAGTGCAGCGCACCATTTCTCCCCCTGAAATGAGCAATATAGCTTCCAAAATGGGCCGTCAATCTTCCTTCATATTGGCTCTTCTCATTCCGATGCCGTACACCAATTTCTCAAATGTAGAAGTCGGTAAGGCTTTTATAAACAAATCAGCAAGATTGTCACATGAGCGAACTTGTCGAACATCGATTTCTCCATGCTTCTGAAGCTCATGTGTATGGAAGAACTTCGATGATATATGCTTGTTCCTATCACCTTTTATGTATCCACCTCTTGTCTGTGCTATGCAAACAACATTGTCTTCGTAAATGATAGTAGATGTGTTTGTAATAACTGGATGTAATTTGCAGGAGTTTCGAATATGTGAAATAACCGACTGTAGCCAAACACATTCTCTGCCTGCCTCATAAATGGCTATTATTTCAGAATGATTTGAGGAGGTGGCCACCAATGTGTGTTTGGTAGATCGCCAAGATATACTTGGTAGATCGCCAAGATATACCTGCGCCATTATAACAAAACAAATATCCAGTTTGTGTGCGAGCTTTGTGTGGATCAGATCTATATCCCACATCGGCATAACAAACTAACCCTTGGCTAGTTTTATTTTATTGAATAAAATAGTCCCAAATCTATAGTACCACGGAGATATCTAAAAATAAGTTTAACACCATTCCAGTGTCTTTCGGTATGCACAAAATTGTATCGCGCAAGCACATTTACTGCAAAATCAATATCTGGTTGAGTGCATTGTGATAGATATATTAGTGCTCCGATTGCATTGAGATATGACACTTCTTGGCCAAGAATCTCTTCATCAAATTCTTTAGGTCAGAACGGATCCTTTTCAGGATCTAAATTGCGCACAACCATAGGGGTGCTCAATGAATTATAATTTTCCATATTAAACTTTCTGAGCACTCGTTTAGTATATGCAGATTGGTGTATAAGTATGCCGTTATTTAATGCTCAAGTTCAATACCAAGATAGAGTTTGGTTTTTCCAAGGTACTTGACCTCAAACTCTTTATTTAAATATTCAGCAGGATTGGCCAACTCTTCAGGAGTGCCAATGAGGTTCATGTCATCTACATAAACCGCAATAATAGCAAATCTTATTTCTGATCATTTAATAAAAATGCATGGGCAAATAGGATCCTTTTTATAACCTTCCCTGATAAGGTATTCACTCAATTTGTGATACCACATGCGATCAGATTGCTTAAGACCATACAATGATCTCTTTAATTTGATTGAGTGCAGCTCACGAGGAGCGCCAGAGTTTGGCATTTTAAATCCATCGGGAATTTTCATATAAATATCAGAATCTAGTGAACCATATAGATAGGTCGTTACAATGTCAATTAGACGTAGGTCCAGTCCCTCTTGGACGACCATATTGATAAGAAAACAGAAAGTGATTGTATCCATCACTGGTGAATACGTCTCATCATAATCAATCCCAGGTCGCTTCGAGAAAAGTTGAGATACAAGGCGGGCTTTATATCTTAGAAATTCGTTGTTCTCATTTCTCTTATGGACAAATACCCATTTGTACCCAACGGGCTTTACATTATCTGGAGTTAGAACATTTTTCCCGAATACTTTCTGTTTTTCTAGGGAAGCTAATTCAGATTTTATTGCTTCCTCCCATTTAGGACAATCATTTCTTTGGCGACATTCCATTATAGAACGGGGTTCACTATCATAATCATCATACATAATTTCTTGTGCAACCGAGAACGCAAAAATATTATCGATGATTATCTCATTTCTATCATGAATTTCATTGCAATAACTTATGGGATTCTCAGTATTCTCGGGATTTGATATCGCTTTTTCGATATCAGGCTCAACAGATTCATCTGGAGCATTCTCACTAGGAACCACTTGGTTCGAGGGTTCATCGATTTTCCCTTTTCTTTTTCTAGGAACAACGTCCTCTGATCTAATAGTTCTACCCCGTTTTTGTCGTGGGGGATCGTCATTCATTTTCGCATGTTCTTCAGGAACAACGATCCTAGCTGGTACATTCACAGCTGGAATATAAGACTTAGTGATTTTACTGGCGTCATTAAATGCATCAGGAAGTCTATTGGCAATATTTAGTAAATGAATGATTCTATGGATCTCATTTTCACATTCAGATGTACGTGGGTCTAGATGACATAAATGTTGCTCACACCATGTGAGATTCTTGATTGGTTTTTGTTTATCATTATCATGGATATTCTGATTATCCTTACCAATCAGTATAAATAATGTCTTATCAAAATGACAATCCGCCAATCTGGCGGTAATTAAATCACCCATCATCTGTTTCCAAGAACCAAATAATCGACGGTGAATCAAACCCAACGTATATGACAAGTTGGCGTTGGGGAACCATTTAAGTCCTCTGAGGAGGAGGAATTGACACTTGCACATCGGAACCAAATGTGTGTAGGTCCGAAATATCGGGCTCGAAGCCCAAGGCCAATTGCATTGGGGAATGCATATGATAAGGAGTGAGGCGTAATTTAATCAACACTGATGCATGCAATACTGCATGGCCTCATGCTGCACTAGTGAGTTTAGATCTCATCAGCAAAGTACGAGCAATTATTAGGACGCGTTTAATAAAAGATTTCGTCAGTCCATTTTGAGTGTGAACGTATGCTACTGGGTGCTCGACATTTATTCCCAGTGCTGCACAATATTCATCAAAACTTTATGATGTAAATTCTCCGGCATTATCCGTCCTTATATTTTTTATGGGATAATCAGGGAAATATTCTCGGAGTTTAATAATTTTTGCTAGCAAACGCGCAAATGCAATATTTCACGTAGATAATAAGCATACATATGACCATCTACAAGATGCGACCACCAAAACAATAAAATATCTAAATGGCCCACTTGCAGGGTGTATTGGTCAACAAATATCACCATGAATACATTGTAAAAACGATGGTGATTCATAACTGACATTTTCAATGGAAGGTTTTATAAAGAGCTTTCTTTGTGAACATGATTCACAGAAATATTCATTGGACACCAAGATTTTTGTATCTTTTAATGGATGTCTGATGGAGGTTCAACCAACGGTTGGCAAGATGATCCTATCCAAGTCCCAACCGGACCAGTAACGAGGAGCCGAGCTAAGCAATTCAAGGAGAAGCTTGCTGCATTGATCCAAAATGTCTTAACTAAGAAAGCTTCTTTCAATGGTGATAAACAAGGGTGGATTATGCACATTCAAGTGGCGGAGTCACCTGACAAGTGTGGGAACCATCCGGGCTAAAGATCAGTCCAAGTTGAGCAAATAAGAGCAAGCAGGATGAAGACCAAAGCCCACCCTACCTAAAATCCGTGGGCTCATCTCTAATCAGCTCATATTAGTGTGTTTATGGGCCTATTCTATTAAGGCCCTCTTTAATTTCGTGGCTCACTTGTTTAGAGCCTTTATTAAGTAGATTTAGGGTTTTATTTTCCTTTTTTTGAAGACTATGTTTTGGGGGCTATATATATGCCTTCTTATTCATGTGAAAGACAGCTTTTGATCATTAATTAAATTGTGAGATTATTCTCTCTAGTTCTTTAGAACTCTTCGAACATATCGGAGGATTCCGTACGTTCACCTGACTTATCAATCAATCTTCCACAATTGATTGTGGCGTCTTCACATACCAAGGTTCTTGTCTCTTTATAGACAACGGGTCGCGGTTCCACCCCCTTTTGATTCCTTCTTTTGGACGGTCCAGCAGTTGATAACCGAAGTATTGTTATCGGGTCTCGTCACATGGTTGGCGTGGTTCATATCAATGTCCTTTAGTATGTTGTGCAATCCTACACATCATAGTCGTTCCCGGGTGACCCAGTCGATCATGCCATCACCCGTGTATATCGGCATTTACAAGTTTCCATGGCATAGTAGCGTAGCATTCGAAAACTCGAATTTGGACACAATGCAGTCGAGAAGCTATCGCTTTGAACTTAACACAGTCCAAAAGCTCTCGCTTTGAACTTCTCATGAACAATTCTTTTGTCCATGACATTTGATGTGACGCATAGACACTCCACGGTATTTTCAACCAGTGTCTCTAAATGATACCCATTGCATCTCACATCTTTAAAACTTTGCAGATTCTTGTTTGATCTACCGGATATTATTGCAT